TATTGATTGATGACCTTGAAGGAAAAGATGAATGCCTGACTTACACCTTCATCTCAGACCAACAAAAGGCAAGTTTTTCATTTATTCTTATGGTTTTATGTGTTTCTGTTATGCTATTCCTGTTATGATATATTGTATGTTATGTTATATTGTTATGCTACATTGTATGTTATGCTATTGTAGGGTCTGTTACCTACTATGGATGAGCTATTGCCAAGGGTGCAGCACAGGTTTTGTGTTAGGCACCTCTATAACAATTTTAGGAAAATGTTTCCTGGAAAGATTTTGAAGGACATAATATGGAAGGTTGCCAAGTCAACATACCCACAGGCATGTGAAAGAGAGATGAAGGGAATGATGGCCATCAATGAATAAGCATTTAAATATATGATGAAGACCCCACCAAGGTTTTGGACTAGATATTACTTTAGGATTGAAAACAAATGTGATGTTGCTCTCAACAACATGTCTGAATTCTTTAATAGTGTCACTCTTTATGCAAGGGAAAAACCTCTAATCACTATGTTGGAAGACATCATAATATACATAATGGGGAGATGGGCAAATAACATAATGAGATTTGGTACTTTGGATGAGAATGATATATTGCCCAATATTAGAAAGAAACTTGATGTCACAAGCACGTACACCAATAACTGGCTAGTAAGGTATGTAATATCAGCATACATTAATTCTTTAGGATGTCTATAACATACATGTGACTAATATATTTTGTTTGTTTAATTATTTAGAATGTTTGATGAACATATATTTAAAGTAAAGCACTTGGAAAATCAAGCTGACAAATTTGTTGTGAACCTGAAAGATCATATATGTTCATGCAGAAGATGGGAACTCATAGGACTCCCATGTGTTCATGCTTTGTCTGCTATGAAGAGTAGGAATTTCAAAATTGATACTTACATTCCAGATTATTATAGGGTTTCAAGGTACAAGGCAGTTTATAAGCATGTGATATACTCTATTAATGGATCAAACTTGTGGGTTAAGACACCATATCCAAATGTACAACCACCCAAGTTCAGGAAGATCCCTGGTAGACCTAAACAGAGGAGGAACCTAGAATAAGGTGAAATTGATGGGTTTTATTGCAAATTGAGAAGAATAGGTTTTATGGTGAAGTGTAGTAGGTGTAAGAAAACAAGACACTACAAGTCTACATGTAAGGACACAACAACTCAGACTACTCAACAATTAGCCCAACTCTCTCATACTCAAACTCAGACTGCTCAATAATCAGCCCAACACACTCCTACTCCAACAACTCAGCCTACTCAACAACCAAGACAACCCTCTTAGAACAAAGCAACACACACTGCCAAGGGAACTTCTACTCAACAATCTAGCCAAGCATCTCAGACTTCTAAAGGAAAGGTTGCTCGGAAGACACATGGACCTGCTAAGGGCGAGACACAAAAGTTATGTGTTAGGAAGCCAACGAGACCTTTTGTACCACCTGAGCCTACAATTAGGTTAAGTGCTGCCAAGAATATTGCTAGCTCAGTAACAAGGAGGTCTACTCCAACAAAGAGGACCACGCTAAAGAAGAAACTCTAAATATAATTAGGTTATTATGTCATGTAGAATCACATTATGTATGTTGATGTATAATTAGTTTATGTTTTTTGTTGTTGTTTGGAACATGTGTATTATAAGTTTATGTATCATGTTGTTGTTTGAAACATGTGTGGAATGACTATGTATTTTGTGAAACATGTGTGTCAGTTTGTATTTTGAAATGGACATGTTATGAAATGTATCAGTTGTGTTAAAAGCATAACCTATTTATGGACCTATTATAAACTTTATGTTAAAAGCAGAACCAACTTATAGGTCATAATGTTTATGGACCTGTCATAATGTGGTGTAAAAAATGCAGACCAACTTTGACAGGTCTATAACAAACCAGGTAAACATAAAAATAGAACATACCAAATATATCATTGTGTGTTAAAATCAAGCTAATCTTCAACAGACCAAATAACATAATCTTTAACATTGCAGACCAAGTTAAAAACACTTTGACATGATATTTAACAATGCATACCAAGTTAACATAATCTTTAACTATTATATTCATGTGGAACTGATACAATCCAAAACTGAAACTGATACATTCATGTTGAACTGCAAAAAGTAAAATTAAAATCCACTGCAGGATTAGAATTCAACTATTACATTATGTTGAACTGATACAATCCAAAACTGATACAAACTTTAACTGAACTTAAATCTAATTCTTACAAGCAAACCATAACATACTACTTTCAAACAAACCTTAATACCCTAACTAATTCTAACAACTAATACAGTGATAATCATCACAAACATCAAATTCAAAATCTTTCTCCACTTCATGATATTCTTCATTTCACTTTCAAGTTTTATCAACTTTTTCTCTAATTCTTCATTCTCCATTCTCACTTTTTTAATGTCCTTTTTTGCTTCAGCAAGTCCCTTAGTTACCACACCTAGCCTATGCATTCAGAATTCCTCCTTCTCATCACTCACCTCATAAAACCAACCAAAGAAACCACAACCAGCTTGCATACCTCCCTATAAATTTCATTGTTTAGAGGACAATAGAGAATGAATTTAAACTTAAATAGAAACAAAATTTATTAACAGAATTCAAAAAGCTTACATACCTTATAATTTGGATAACCCCAGAAAAGTTGTATCATATTCTTAACAGTAGTTCCCCTTTGAAGAACAGTCATGTCTCCACAATGGCTTATGGGCTTCCATCGTGACCTACTACAAACATCTGAATCTCGACTTTCCTATTTCAACATGAAGGACGAACAACCAGATTTCATGCTTGAGAAAAACAAAAACCCTAGATTAATTTTGGAATTTGGGATTGGGAAGGAGGAAGGAATGGCAAAACAAATTTCAGTCGCAGTATGGGAACGGGGGGAAGAAGGAGAATGAAACAACATGATGAAGATATTTGCCAAGTCATTTGCTACGTACACAAAATGAACAGGCGTTTGGGGACAACTAACGGTGAGGACTCAATTGACACTATTTTAAAAGCTAAATGACCAACTTGACATTTTTTAAAGTTAAGGGACCAATCCGGATCCCGAATTTAAAGTTAAGGGACGAAAAATGATATTTTACCAAAATTAATTTAATGATGAAGGCCATAAACACAGTTATACATTCAACTACCTAACAATTATAAAATTCAAATATCTTATTATATTAAATGAGTTTCAATCGCATCCTAAAAACTAACTCAATAGGTATCAGTATTGGAATATATTTATACATTAATATGTGATAATTGAATTAAATATATTATTATAAATTAATTATTATTATTATTTATAAATCAACAACTTTAAAAATAAAATATAGTATCTATTTTATTATCCGAACATTTCTCTTATTTATATATTAAATATTTTAATATTTCTTTAAAGGCGTGCTTAGCCCAAATCGTCGCGCTAATTCATCGTTGAAAGCAAGAGGTCGGGTTTAAGCTAAACATATTTTCCCAGATGCTTAAGCGAAACATATTTAAGCTCTTTGAAAGAAAATATTAGATTAAACGAGGGGTTTATTTTCCTTTTCTCGTGTGGAATTCTCTTAACTCTATGTTGTGTATTGTTAAAAAATAATGTAACTAAAGAAAGAAGTTTTTATTAAATTTAAAAGAGAATATTTCAATTGGATTATCATTTCCAATCAAAGAAACACAAACATATATAGAACAGGTAAAGGAGATGCTGCAACAAGAGGATTATGAGTCATATTTTATTCACTCCTATCCGTTTACACAAATGGGATAAAAGATGCCCAACAAAAATCAATCAGGCATTTGGTTTCGTCCAATGGAATTTAGACATTACTTATCTTGATTTGTTTTCAAGTTTGAACGAATATATGGAAAATATTTCTCTAACTAGCTCAAGTGAGTGGAATTTTTTTTAGACAAACTCAATAGTCTTACTCTTATTCTTTACAAAATAAAATAATAAAACTATTTAACACTTAATTTGATGCCTATTTGTGTGCGGAAGAAGTGTCCAAAAGAGGGTTGAAATCTACTCAATTTCTTTGTCTCTTCATTTTCTCCCTTACTATAGTTTTAATGTATATAAAATTAACTAAATATTTATTATATGTCACATGTCTTAGAAATGTGTGTTATTTACATTAAAACTATAGTAATAGAGAAAATGGAAGGACAAAGAAATAGAGTGGATTTCAACCCGTCCAAAAACACTTAGATCAGATTCTGTGTGTTCATCCCTTAATCATAAGGCTACATCAGAATTTGGACCTGATTCCAGTCTTTAATCTAATAAAACCCGATGAGGTACGGGTAATAAAGACGAGACAATACATAGATAAAATTGGATTGGTCATGCACCAAATTGTAATACATAAACTTTTTTTTATTTAAATGAAATTATTTAACATGTAATTCATATGGTAATACTATTAAACAAAAATAATCAACAAATCTCCCAAATTGTATTACTTCTCAATAGGGAAAACAAAAACATAACCTTATTAAAACCAACCATATAACAATAAGAACAATAATATTCTAATTAAAATCAACCATATTTAGGAACAGTAATAACCTCAGCACTTTAAACTAAAACTTCGACAAACTCTTGAAAGCTTGTGAAACATTGCTAAGATAATGACTTTGACTCGTGAGAAACTCTAAATTACGAATAAAAAATAACATCATTGTCCTCTAAAACTTTTGGGACAGGACATTTAATATGAGGTTCAACCCGGACATCATTGTCCTCTAATTTTTTTTGGATTTGGGTCAGACCCGGTTTGAAGTTTTGGGTGGTTTGGACAATGTTCTGAACACCCCTAGTGTGAAGCAACCACTAGCCTAAGATTCTCATTTTTGCATCTATAAAAAGGCAATCTTCCTTCAACATTATGCATACAGATAACAAGAAAAACAAGTAAAACAGTTTCTTTTCTTCCAAATAGCAGGGATGTTTAGAGGTTTTGCAGACTTGATGGATGGCCGTGATAGAAGCCGAGCTATGTCAACTCGACCTGAACCAAATCCCATCTTCAACTCTCCTCTTCCCATTCAAGCACCATCAGGTTGCCTTCTCAATGGAGACAATCAAAAGCTACTTGGTGTTACCAATAACACCAACATCAAGTTAAAGGGTGACGGTAATGGAGCGTTTACGCTTGGCGACTTCAAATAAATCAGCTGCTCTTAGTTATACAGACGGCCTTCTTATATATATAAATAAAACATACAATTGTGAAAAGGCCATAATAAGTACTATGTATATGCTTTGACCTACTTGTTATAACTGTAATAATCTTGTAATAATCTTATCAACTGCTTATAATACAAGTTAAGGTTACTAGTATATATAACTATGCATTCATTATGCTTAAATTAGATATAGTTTTTTTTAATACATTTTCTTATGGTGGGACCTTAAAAGGAAGGTCATCCATTCCTGTCTTTCCCTCATTGAAATTTTCAAGAAATAATAACTGTAGGCTAACAATAGTGAGCCAACCTGGAATTAATAGCACACAACAAATTTCTCGGCATTGAATTCACTCTAAATTCCCATCAATTTCATTTATAATCAACAGAATTCTGCCCTTAAATAAAACTAGAGAATCATGAGGGGAGAGATACAGTAACAGTCTCCATTTGCCAAAAGATATACTACCTCCGTTTCATAATGAGTCATTTTGAATCAGAAGGAATACAATTTTAATTGTACAAAACAAGGGACTGAGTATGGTTTCTAAGGGCACATTAGTGCAAAGCATGGGTTAGCATATTAGTGCAAAGCATGGGTTAGCATATGGTGTATGTTCTACATTAAATACCTATTTTCCATACATGTAATAGCATATGGTCTGTGCGCTACTGTAAATTCCTACTTTCCAGCCCAGCAATGAGCTTTGCCGGCTATGTTCATAGACCTTAAAGCACACCAGCTGAAGCTGTGCGGATTCAGGTCAAATTTGTGCTATATATGAAACAAATACCCTTTCAAAAGACTCAATGTGAGATATCGGCGTTAAATCTAAGGAATTGTGTGTTTGTGTATATATTTGTTTTGGTTGAGATCCTTGATATCTAACATGAATTATAATCCATGTAAAACTACAAATTCCTGACATTTATTTTTATATTCAAAAGATATCTTATTTAAAGAAAACCAAATTATTTAACAGTTAAAGGACTAGGTATTAGTAAATGTATGTAATTTTTTGCATGTCATTCTAAAGAAATAAAGCAATTATTCGTAATATCAACATACCTGACGCCAGATAGGCACACTGTGTGCACGGAACACGTAAGGACTTGTGTCCTTCAGAGCATCTTAATAACTGACTCGATAACAGGTGCTAAGTTGCCTCAAGTTTTTTAAGGGAAAGAGGAGTGAAGTACCCCAAAAAAGTTTTGCTTTCACTTAAATCACAGCATGTATAATCTCAAAATAATTTAAAAAGCACCACACAAATAAGCTTACAGAAATTGGACTACTTGTAGGGTTTTCTGTCAGTTGCACTAGGCCGTGTATTAAAATCTAAATTACCACCATTGTAAGTCATAAATACAGACACACACACATAACTGGAAGGCAAGAAAAAAACATGAAAAAGCCCCACAAGGTCACATGTATGTAAATTAAAAGCTAATGGGGTTCACCACGAGTTATCATAAAAAGTTTAAGTAGTAAACAGGATTATCTGAGCAAGGTAGAAATTATGAAGCTTGCATCAATTGCAAAATCCATATAACTACTTAAGCATCACAAGATACATAGAGCATCATCCATAAAGTCAAACATTAAAGATAAAATCAAACTTCCAAGTTTCTTCAGGATAACAAAGTTAATGAAAGAGAATACGTACAACCCAGCTATCTAGCAAAGCTTATTCTACATTATATCTGTTAAAATTTGAAGATTGTGCCTGTGGAGCTGATAACTGATCCTGTTTGACACCTACTCACCAAAGTCTTAGCTGCTCCATACATTCTTCAGTTTCATTCAACGTCTTCGACTGTGCCTCTTCTTCTTCTTGCTGCTTTTATCATCAGAATCAGAGTCTGAACCAGAATCTGAATCAGACGATTCAGATGATGTACTGTACCTCCTGCTTTTTCCTTTGCTCTTCTTCTGAGTCTGCTTCTTCTTCAAACTCTTCCTCTTCCTCCGTCTCCTTTCTTCCTCTGAATCTGATGACGAACTGGAACCCGAACTACTTTCAGAAGAATAATCCGACCCCGTAACAGACGACGATTCACTGCCACTATCAGTCTCAAACACTGAATCCTCACTATCACTACCAGTAGCAGACCGATGTTTCCTCTTGGTCTTTTTGGAACTCGGTATATGATTTTCCTCCTTAGCGTCATGATGATTATTATAATCCAAATCACGTTCCATAGTTACTTCAGACACTTTCACCCTCAATTTAGGGTTTTTAAGTTGCTGGGTCCGAGAGGGCCGTGAAATGTAAACCCGCTCACCCTTGCACTCATATGTCCAATGACCAGAGCCATAACACTTTTGGCACCGCGCATTTCCACCGATTGTCGACATAGTGGGCTTAACTTCCTTCCTTTCACCCAATTTAACAGCTTTCTCAGTACTCATCAAATACATCTGTCTCTTAGCCTCCCTTTTCTCTTGCCATCTGCTAGGCCCTTCTTCCTTCTGTCCATAAGCATTAACATTTCGAGCAGCCGCAGTTGCCGCCCGTTCAGCTTGAGCACGACTAAGCCCTTTGGCAGCAGTCAATGCCGCAGCCTTGATTCTATCAGCTGCAACCTGAGCTTTCTCTTCCTTCTTACTTGACATTTTCTATTTCGGATCTAATTTTTAAATGGCGACAATTTGATGCGGTGTTAAATGTTGCTGCAGAATATAAAAAACAGATGTAAATACAAAATTAACATTCAGTTTAAAACACGCGTAGATCTGTTCCAATATTTGATTGATGATATAACAGATGAATCTATCTAAAGGATACAAGATTATTGTCAACTGCGACGGTAGAACGCGCAGTGGTGCGGAGTGGAGGTCCGATCTGCGGCGTATAAAGGGGCGGCTATCACAGCCGCAAATCGCAATGGCTATGAAACCCTAGCGCGTGCTACAAGAAGGAACGAAAAGAGGGGAAGCAAGAGATGAAAAGAAAGAAAAGAAGGAAAACCTGAGTGATGAATTTCTCACTGTTTCTGCCGGATGGTGTTGAGATCAATCAGATCCTTGGTTCTGGTAAATGGGCAGAGGGGTAGCGGCTTCGCTATGTTTTATTTGATTTAGGGTTTTAATTTATTAAATTGTGTTTATTTGTCTTATTTTGAAGCGATAAATTATTATTTTCTCCCCCGCTTAAAGCTTTGATGCAAGAAATACATTAATATTGTTATAATATTTATTTTAAAATATATTTTACTGTTGAAAAAAAACCATAGTCAATTTTTTAAATTATAAAATTAAATTAATTCAAAAAAGTATAGTCAAGGCGGTCGTTCGAATTCGGCCTTAGACAATTAAAAACAAAGACAATAAGAAAAGAATTTTTTTCATCATTAGATTTTTAATGTGGAATCTTGACTTAATTATTCCCCAGCCCTATAAACAATATTATATATGATTCTTTCTTTTATTTTTATGTTACTTACAATATCTCCATAACTTTTATCATTCTTATATTTTCAAACCTTGTATATTGTTTTTGCTGGAGCAAGCTTGAGAATACTAGCCCTTCGGTTTTTACCTTGCAATTTTTCGTAATCCAAGTCATTTCATCTTTCCATTCTCCCCGCTTATGCTTCACCTGAATCCATTTCAGCACTTTACTCTAGATATTATTCAACTTACTCCACCCAAACAAGATATGTTGGATCGTTTCTCTCTGCTGACAGAAGGAACATTTGTCACTGTTCACCATTCTAAGTCGGACCAATCTATCTTTGGTAGCTAGTCTTTCCATAGTACATAAGTCACATCACTAAAATCGCTATAGGTATAGCTAGATTATTGTAGAAGAGTTTCCTCCACTACACCACTTGATATTCATCTTTTAGATTCATGTACTTCTTCCTTATATCAAACTTATCAGTTCGTTGCAGATTATTCCACCCCTGCAACTTTTGAATTTTGTCACGCTGCTTTAGAATTGCCTTCACCATCCATGAACAGTTGGATTTAATATTGACAGACATTAGTTGGTCCTTTTTAATATAGTATGTATGGATCCATTTGATCCACAAATTGTCAGTTTTCCTGTTAAGGTTCCATAAGAGCTTTGCCATATTAGCTTTATTTCAAACCTCAAGATATATGATATTCAGGTCACATTGAGCTTTTGGGCTGCATACATGCTTCTAAGCAATAGGCATTTCATGCTTAACTCCTTTCCTTCGGTCTACAAGAAGCTTCTACAAATGGCTTCAACCTTAGATATTACTTACTTATGGATAGGGAAACAGTTCATCCCGAAATTAGTAATAGCAAAGGATATACTTTTAATAAGTTGGATCCTTCCAGTATAACTCTGAAGTTTGGCACTCCAATGTCTGACCCTTGCAACAATCTTGTCTACCAAGCACATGTAATAGTGTATGGCAAGCTTTTTACTACTCAAGGGCACTCCAAGGTATCTAAAGGGAGACATACCTTCTTTGAAGTCAGTGATCTCCTTGATATCTTCTTTAGTGTTATTACACACCCCTCAAAAATAAACATAGCATTCGCTAGGATTCACTCGTAGCCCAATTGATATAGAGAATGTGTTCATCATCAACTCAATGGATTTCTTGTCTCCTCTGGAAAAACATCAGTTAGTCATCCTCAAAACAGAGATTAGTGATGTTTAGCCTCTCGCATTTAGAATGAAAATTAAACTCAAGGTTTTTGTCATCTTCTGCATTGACTTGTTCAGATATTCCATTATTATTACAAAAAGTATGGGTGAGATGAGGTCTCCTTATCTCAAGCATTTCCTAATTTGCATAATTCTAGTATACTCTCAATTAACATTGAACATGTATACAGTTGTCACTGCTAGCATTAACCATCTGATGTACTGGTTAGGAAACCCTGTCGCTTTTAAGATATGCTCAAAGTGTTCCAATCAATCGTATCATAAGCTTTTTGGAGATCAAGTTGTATTATACACCTTGTTTTGCCTCCCTTCTTGCTATAACCTCTAATTAATTCATAAGCGAGTAAGATATGGTCAAAAATATGTTGACCTGGTACAAAGGCAACATGTTTTTATTCAAAATGCTTTCGATCACTCTTACAAGTCTTGTTGTAAGTATCTTGGAGATAATTTTGTATATGGTGGTGCAACAAGATATAAGCCTATAGTTCTTGATAGCTTTGGCCTCTGAAATCTTCGGAATGAGGGTTACCATTATGATATTCGCCTTATATAATCTCTCATTCAAAAAGAAATTCATAATTGTAGTTGTAATATCATGTTAATATAATACTCCAGGTAGCTTTAAAGAACTTTGTGGCATAAACATTTATCCTTAAGGCCTTCAGGTCTCCAATATCATTAAGAGTTTTTATGATTTCTTGGACAGACACAAGATTGATGAGAAGCTTTCTCTAGTCATTGTTAACTTGTTCCCGTACCTTATGGCCACTAACGACAGTCATTTAAAAAAAAGTAATTGATAAAAGTATATATGATTTGATTTAATTTTAAAAAATTGATTAAAAAATCTAATTTGATTTGATAGAACAATATATGTTATCTAACTTATATCAAGTTTGAATATCTAAATTATATATTCATAATGTTTTTTTATTATAAAAATATTTTTGTTCTTTTCTGGATTGAGAAATGGAGAATGGTTCAGACATAAGAGGAAGATGATATAAATGAGATGGTTAGGTCGGGGACGATGTGATCAACTCAATGTAGGTCCTTTTCATTGATTTAGGGTTTTAATTTGTAAAATTTTGTATATTTTGTCTTTGATGGCTATTTATTTCTAATGCGGTTTGTACGATTTTGAATTAAAAAGTCATTTGATTTATTTGATAAAATAATTTTGATTTGGTTAAATTTTAGAATATTGGTTAAATTTTTTGATTTGATTTAATACAATGTTATATAATTCATATTAACTTTTTAATATTTAAATTATGAGAAAAAAAGAAATGTATTGTCAATATAAAATATTTTACATTGACAATTAATTACAATCATGTATTAGAATAAAAAAAATTTTTATTTTAAAAATACTAATATTACGTGACAATTGTAGACATTTTGATTATTTTGTATGTGTAAAACTGTCTTAGAGTCTTATTGCACTACCTTTAAACCCTTCAAATTATATATTTATAGTTTTTTAATTAATATTATAAAAATACTTTAAAATAGTTTAATATAATATATAATATATAATATATTAAAATTTTAATATTACAAAATGACAATATTTATTTAGGATTCAAACAAATAAAATAATAAAAATAAACTTATAAATTCATAGTATTGATGGCTTGGTATTGTTTCTGTTGTAATGGCGGTGGTAATATGGAAGTTGTAAGTTTGGTTAGAAGTTATGGTGAGGTTGTTGATGAAGGTTATGGCTTCATGGTAGTGATGGTGTTGCATGAAGAACCATGTTGTTGTGTTTTTAACATGAAGATGATGGTGATCATGTGAGGCTAGTGTGAAGGTTCTTTGCAGAAGATGAGAGAGAAAAATGGTGGATGAGTGACTGAAGAGATATTTGTTTGTGTTGGTGAAATGAGATGGAAGAGGAAAGTGAAGAGATATTTCTTGTCATTTTTATTTTTCAGCTGTAAAACCAAAGAAAGAGAAATGCTGTTGGGTCAAGAAAATGAAGAAATTATGCAAAATTTATGTGGTTCCCTTTTCTCTTTGGATCCTTCTTTAATTTCGGAAAAAGAAAGAAAAACAATCCAATCAATGTGAGTTGGTGCTAGAAAGATGGTGTAATTGGTTTGTTCCCATCAAATTTCTCAACCTTACTTCTATATGGATAAAAAAATAGGATTTTATATTTTCAAATAAGTGTTATTTGGTGATAAAATGGATTAACACTAAACAAAATAAATAAAGTCAAACAAAATTAAATAATCAAAATAAGACAAAAGGATTACATGATAAAATTTAATTATTTTCAATGATTATTTTGCCTAAAAAATAAAAATAATCAAATAAAAAATAATAAAATTAGGCCTAAAAATATTCGAAAAATTAAACTAAATGTATTAAAATGATCATCGTGAAATAAATTTTTCGGAAACATATAAATTTTGATCAAATTTTAAAATAAAATTTGACCGGTTATATAGCTTAGGCGGACAAAAATGCGACATAAAATATAGTCGAAAAATTAAAATGAGCACACCATATTAAACTACGCGAACTTTAAATTAAGAATATTGATGTCTGCAAACTCGATTTTAAAAAAAATTCGTCCGCTAATTCGACATACAGTTGAGAAACAGTTCGACCGGTCTGTCTGTAGATCCGAAAAATTATTTTGATTGATATTTTAAGTGTTACATGAAAAAAAAAGGCACACTGTGATAAGTAAAAAAAATGCAGATGTCTTATATATGCATTAAATTACTGACTGAATAATTATGAATAGACAATTAGATACAAATAAATCACCCTTGGACCATTTACTTTTGATTTTCTATTACAATTAAACCCTACTGAGATTAAGATGTCGACAATACTCTTTATTGTCACCCTCTGGGCCTTTGAAACCAGATACAACGAAATGAATGATGCACTGAGACTAAGAAATCAAGCATTTTGATTTTTTAATTAAGCAGATGACTGAATG